GCGCGGTTTCCCGCTCTCCACATTGATCCGAGCATCCCAACTACGCGGCCAATCACTTCGCGGAGTAAGGATCGAGCTGGGCGGAGGGGAAGACGAAGAGTCCTGCATGGGGAAAATGCACGCAGCAAGAAGGGAAGATGGCGCGGGGATGCAAAGCAAGAAACGGGGATGCGAGACGCGCAAAGAAATCGGAGCTTGGGCTTGCGCGCGCAAAAGTTCAAAAAGTCCCAACCGCTTCCGATTCTTGGTTTTCATACCGCGGTGCAAAAATCCAAAAAGTCCCAACCGCTTCCGATTCTTGGTTTTCATACCGCGGCCGCTATTCACCCACGCAGGAGTTATTAACCAAACAAAATGAAAAAGCCGTTTCAAAAAGAAAACAAAAAGAAAGAAAAAACACCTATTTGTCCGCATCCGTGCCTCGGGGCTTCCGAGGGATTTTTCCTCAGGTATACGGGAAGCCGCGCGGTATGGGTCTGAGCTTATCACATCATCTCATATAAGCGCCATGGGGTTTGCATCACAGCTCGGACTCCATGCTGGACACAAAGTCGAATGTGGTTCAAGCCTATATGGATGTGCTTTTATGGCAGGCTGTGTTTTCTCTAGTGTTGCCAGTAGAAGATAAGCCATATGCTCCTGTAGTGGTAAAAATCTCCATTGCCGTGAAGATATGGCGCCTTGAAAGATGGTATTGCCGTGAGTGGTGATAATCTCCATTGCCGTGAAGATATGGCGCCTTGAAGGATGGTATTGCCGTGAGTGGTACAAATCTCCAGTGCCGTGAAGATATGGCGCCTAGAAGGATGGCAATATACCATCCTTCAAGGAGCATATGGCTTATCTTCAACTGGCAACACTACTGGGTAGTGGTGCAATGCTCTTGAAGGATGGTATTGCCGTGTGGGGTCCAAATCTCCATGGCGCCATACTACTAATCAGTGTTAGGCTGATGAGGCATAACCAGACCATCCGACGTAGCCGGCGCCGGGGTATTAACCCTGTAACCTGGTGTCAAGGGCTTGCCGACACCGGAAATGTCGAGGGAGGAAGGCACTTCCTGTCCATCAGAACTAGGTTGGTCAGTACTGGGGAAGGTTGTGGTGCCCGGTTACCCTCGCTGAAGGGGGTATGAGATCAAGTGAGTTGTGGTACGAGGACTGAAAGCCTGGACTGACGTTCCGTCTGTTGAGGGGGGGAGTTTTGGATATCAGGTGGGTTCAGTTTTTTTTTGAGTCTTTTGACCCTCCGCTCCCATGCTTTTCCAAGCTGCTTCAGACTTTTTTTTCTGAATTTTAGCCTATCTCATGAGTTTTTTCAACTTTTTGTCTAATAGGCTAGAAATTCCTCATGATCCTATTCTTAGCTGAAGCCGGGTAATGGGACTCTGGGCCCGGTTCCCAGCACGTGTGGCTCCTCACGAATAGATTCGAGCATTGTCCCCCCCCAAAAAAAAGAAAAAAAAAGAAAAAAAAGTGGATGACGACTGCAAGGGTGACCGGTGGAATAATATTGTACTGGAGGAACACTGCGTGTTGACCAAGCGTTGGGGAAAGCGATACCGGTTCATCGTTGGCACAGTTAGGCCGATGATTCCAGCAGTGGCAAGGAGAGAGCGAGGAAGTGAGAAGCTGCTACACTGTTTCTTGCTTGTCTTGTGCACTGGTCTGCTTTGCTCTCTCTTTTGGATGATTCCCATTCATCGAGGATTGTGAGCATCGCGCCTGATGTAGATGGTGCGATCTTCTCGAACATGGGTTTGTTGCACACAGTGTCACTTGTGTAAACCACCAGAGCCTTCGAGCCTCTTTTTCCCGACTGGAATTTGTGTCGCGCACCAACTAAAAAACGAACAGGTCGAGCAGAAATTCGATTTGTTTTGGCTGGCCTCTCCACCCCAAGAGGTCCACCAGGCCAAGGCCCCCCAAATCGCAATGGTATACAAATGAATTTGAAGAGAATCACTGAGATGGGTGCCGGTGTTTTTTTAAACCACCCGTAGATGATCCCAGCTGTCTGTCTGGGCATCAGGGCACCCAACTTGTGTGCGCATGCAGGCAGGCCTGGGTCATCCCAGGCAGCCTCAGCGCCCCCCCCCAAAAAAGGAAAATCCAGAAAAAAAACTACGTTGTGTGGAATTGCAATACAAACAACTTTTGGCTAAGCCTCACATCTGAATTCCATCAAAGACAGGTGTCCGGATTTGGGCTCCTCTGCGCTGCACGGCGACCGCTGCCATGCTGCACAGCGTGTCTACCCGTGTAGAGCCCAGCTGCGCTGGCATTTTGGCAAAGCTTGGCACACAGTGAGAATCTGCCTGTTACACAACAGGCCCAGATGTGGTGGTGGTTTAATGTGCTGCATAGGACATACAATTTATCGTTTAGTACTTGCTAAATATATTTACCATAGTTTAATGTTATGGGTGTTGAATACAGTCCTAAGCACTGTTAGCAGTATCACATCACGTCGTACTTTCTGTGTAGGTTTGGAGTAGTATCTTCTTTGCCCTCCACACGTACCATATTCTGTCTGATGCTTACCATACATATACTGTCTCATGCTTACCACACATTATGTACCAGATAGGATGGGATGTACAAACATATTTGGGGGAAATTACCTCGGCGGGATAGTGGACGCGGGAGAAGTCGACTTGAACTGCGTTCTCATGTGTGCTGTGCTGTATGGCCAGGCACATTCTAACTGTGCTGTACTGTATGGCCAGGTGCATTGTAATAGGACCAGACCCATCTTTAGAAGTCCATATAGATAATAACATTTCCTGTATTCCATATTATTCATGTTGTCCCCTAGGACTACTCTGTACCTTGTATAGATAATAACATTTCCTGTGCAGTATGTACGCCCTGGCGTGGAGTACACCATGCGGCATATGTGCTATGAATCTATTCTATCCTCCTAGCACTGTGTGTGTACTCTGCCTGATGGTGCCCCGCCTGAGGGTCAGGCCTCCCTGGTGCTATGTTTGTGTTATGCTAGCACGGGCATGCCCACCATTACTACTGGGGTAACCTGTTTTCCAAGCACAAACAACGGGCTGTTCCATAGCACTTTCACCGACTCGTCAGGAGATTAATTCATGCAAAAGTGTGTGTGTGTGTGTGTGTGTGTGTGTGTGTGTGTGTGTGTGTGTGTGAGAGAGAGAG